AAAGAAAGAAAGAAAGAAAGAAAGAAAGAAAGAAAGAAAGAAAGAAAGAAAGAAAGAAAGAAAGAAAGAAAAAGAAAAACGAACCTGGCATGGTTTATGCAAAAATGAACAAACAGCATTTTGAGATCCTGGTGTTTCCAGGTTCCAGGGACTCAGCTTTTGAAGTGTAGTTCACAAAAAATGACCAGCCTCAATAGAGTTGAGGAGCCTTGCCTTTGTTGTGGCGCCCCCTTCTGGCCTGACATGTATTCCGATTTTTTTTTTAATTTTTATTTATTTATTTATTTATTTTTATTATTTTTTTTTTTTTGGTTTTTCGAGACAGGGTTTCTCTGTGTAGCTTTGTGCCTTTCCTGGATCTCGCTCTGTAAACCAGGCTGGCCTCGAACTCACAAAGATCCGCGTGGCTCTGCCTCCTGAGTTCTGGGATTAAAGGTGTGCGCCACCACCGCCGCCACCGTCACCACCACCACCGGGCTGTATTCTGAATTTTTGTCTGGATTTCCTTTGCTACTTAAGCGGATACCTTCTTCTCCCATTTCACTTTCTCCTCCTGCTCCTCCTCCTCCTCCTCTTCCTCCTTTTTTAAGATTTGTTTTAAGTGTGAGTGTGTTGGTGGGTATGTCCTCACGAGTGCAGGTGACCATAGAGGCCAGCAGAGGGCATGCATGCTAGGCAGCCACTCTACCTGCCACTCCCCTCCCGAGAGCCGGGACTACAAGACTGCTTAACAACTTTTGCTGCATCTGAAAACTAAACTATTGGGACATGGAACAAGACTGAGCAAACTAAGATCGTAGCTTGCATTCACTGTGGAGCCCTTTACCGCTCATGAAGGCCCTGGAGTGCTCCCAAGGCGGCTAGAACCCCAGAGGCTAGAATCCTGGGTGAGGCTGGACACTAGCTGCCACCATGCTCCACCATGAGTGTGCTGCTTTGAAAGTGATAAGCAAGGGGCTGAGGCGCTGTGCAGAATGGAAAAGATAAGAAGTTGAAGGGCTGACCCAACACACAGGGCTGAAATAGAAAAAAACCAAACAACAACAAGAAAAGCAAGGTTGGAAGCCACTGAGCTGGCAGGCACCAGACTGTCTACGGGACTCTGGGGGAGATTCCGACTTGGGAATGGGTGAGCTCAGATCAGCAGGCAGACAGATTAAGTGTGCTCAACCAAGGATTAGTGTCACGTGCTGCCCTGACAGCCCCGGCAGCGTGTTGACTTCCTCTTCCTTGTTTGACTGGAGCCCATAGGCTCTGGCCTGTGAGATAAGCAGGGTCCTGTGCTTGTCAGAGGCTCCTAGAGGGCGCTCCCGATGCCTTCTAGAACCCCAGAGCGCACCCAATTTCCCGTTGCTGTTTTTGGTTTTGTTGCCTGTTGTTGGTCAGAACTCGTGAAAGACAGTGCTCCTCACTGCTCAGCCACCATTTGGACGACTTCTGGTTTCCTCTGCGAACTTTCTAAATTCCTTTTGGTTAGAAAGTGAGCATGCATAACAGAGGAGCTTGTTTTACAAGTATGTATGGGAGGGAGGCACAGCCCAGCACTGCTGCCGGCACTCTGGAGGAGTTCCCTTCCCAGGGAGAGAACTTGAGTCAGGAGCAGCTGGTGGATCCTGACCGTGCAGCAGAAAATCTTTTCAGGCTGGGCCAGAGTGAAGAAGTTACTGAGTTTATTAAGGATAGGGAGAGTGTTGGTGAACTGGTGTGGGTTGACATGGGTCTGTGGAAAGAAGACACAGCACACCCTTAGGATGTCTCTAGCCTTGCCAGCTGCAGGGAGACTCAGCCTCTTCCCTTAGCCAAGGACATTTGTATATTGTAAACCAGAGTTGAGTCAAATATAGCTTTACTTTTCCAACATCATACAAAAAGTCCATACCAATCCAAAATATGAGGCTTGTTGTTATTTCATAACTGCAGTTTTGTCATTATTGTGAATCTCAGTGCAAACATCTGACATGCAGGTAGTCCTAGGCTACCTCTGTAAAAAGGTTCAAAAGAAGCAGAACCATTGGGGGGGGGGGTCAGGATTTACAGCCTCTGATTACAGGGTGTTAGTTCAAGATGTGTACCTAGAAATGGGTCTGTTTTAACTGCCTTTCCCGTATCTGGGGAGAATGTAGGCCAAGGTCAGTAGCTTATTTAAAGCAGCTATCAGCCCCAGCACCCCTAGAATATGCAGATAGGCTATAGCACACAACTTTTCATATTCCTGGGTTCTTCACTGACCTGCTATATTTAAATGTTCTAGGTGGCAATGCAAATTTCTTTGCATATTTGTATGCATATATAATAAGTGTGATGAATGAATAAGGATGTTTATTGTCGTGGACTTTTGGGGGAATTTGGGTTTTTTTTCTCCACTTTTAGTGTTGTTTGCATTTTTTAAACAGTAGCGTGTAATTTTGAGTCTAGGTGGGAGGAGTTTAAGCTGCATCCTGCTGGCCTACTGTCCTTTTTAATAAGATACAACAGGTCCAAGACCACCCTCCCTCACTCACCTTGCCCCCTGGGTGCTGCAGTGCTGGACAGTGGTGCCCAGCTGAAGGCATGAGGGTAAAGGATGTACCCCACCGGGGCAGACACGGCAGGCGGTTATTAAAGAAAACGCTGCAGAGCTGGAGAAGGGTCCGGCAGCCCTTGCTGTCTGTGCGTGTGTGAGGGCTGGAGTTCAGATCGCCAGGGCCCATGTGGATGCCAAGTGGGCATGGTGGCCCGCCTGCAATTCCAGGAAGATGTGCTGGATAGTTTATGTCAATTTGACACAAGTGAGTCGTTTGGGAAGAGGGAACCTCAATTAAGAAAATGCCCCCACAAGACTGTCCGGAGGACAAGTCTGGGGTGTACTCTCGATTGATGATTGATGTGGGAGTGCTCAGCCCACTGTGGGCAGTGCCATTCCGGGACTAGTGGTCCTAAGTATTAAAAGCAGGCTGTGTAAACCATTAGGGGCAGGCCAGTAGGCAGCACTCCTCCATGGCCTTTGCTTCAGACCCTGCCTCCTACTCCCTGCCTTGAGTTCCTGCTCTGACCTCCCTCAGTGAAATAAACACTTGGGCCATGGTGTTTTATCACAGCAACAGAAATGCAAATTAAGACAGAGGGCAAGAGACAGGATCCGCAGAGCACATTGGCTAGCAAGACTAGCCATATCTGTGAGCTCTTGATTTGATTTATGGACCTTACTTCAATAAATAAGGTGGAGTGACTGAAGATCATTTGCAACATCAACCTCAGGCCTCCACATGCATGTGTAAACACACACACACACACACACACACACACACACACACGCACACGCACACGCACACGCGCACGCACGCACGCACGCATCCCGCTGAGCACTGGCCTGCATTCTTTGCTCTTTTCTGTAGCAGTAACATGACCAGCAGCTTCAAGCTCTGCTTGGCATTTGTCCTGCTGTGATGGACCAGACCAGGAACTACTGAGCTGGAATGAACCCCGCCTCCCTCAGCTGCTTCCGTCAGGTTATTTTATCACAGCAGCAGGAAGACACCAGGCAGTGGTCCCTTAGACAGCTGAGGTCAATCCCTTGGCCTTGTGTGCCATTTGTGTGGAGTCTGCATCTGGCTAGACAAGAGGGTGTCTCACTGTTCTGCTAAGTAGTGGGTTTTACAGCACCACTTGTCCTTGTGAGAGGGGGCATTTAGGGTAAAGCACAAGTCATTAGGGGTTAGGTTCAAATATTTGGATCAGACCTCCCAAGACGTCAAGTTGTGGGTAGTTAAGTGCTAGCTGTTAAGGTGGGATTTTCTGCTTTTATTTCTGGTCTTTTTATCTCTATGGCTGGTTATCAAATCACAGACCTTGCACAGGCTAGGCTCTGGTGCTCTGCTTCTTGTCTCACCTGCAACCCCTAGTGTTAG